TCCATTTTGGTGTGTCTACACTAATAATTATTACGTCTTCCTGGTGTGTTGACCCTTTAATCATCATGAAATGCCCTTCCTGGTCTCTGGTAATATTTATCTTAAAAAACCTGCTTTGTCTGATGTGAAAATAGCCTCCCTAGCTCTGTACTTGCTATGCCTTTTCCCATAATTTTTCTATTTGTCTCCTTGAATCTACAAGTGTGCCTTCTGTCAGGGTAGCTCTTGTGCCGTCTGACAATCTCCGCTCTTCCACTGGGGTGTTTAGCGCGTTCACATTTAATGTCGGCCCCAATGGATCAGATCTGTGTGTGACCACGATGCTATTTGTTTCCTTTTACCTTCCTGGTCTAGCTGCCCCATCAACCTCTGAGAAGAGAGCACTGAGATCTCTAAGACCGAGTCTATTCCTTTCCTTCTCGTCTGCTTTTGCTTCGTTAATCGCCTCTGTTGTTGCGTGCGTACCGCTGAGACGTCGTTCATCTCCAGAAACGTCCTTTGTCCAAAACCACTTTGTTCGTTATTCACACCGCAGCTCCAGCTCATCTGCTTACTGTCCACACAGTGCGGTTTCCACCCTGTCCTCCGCTTCCTTGTGCTGCTGGATTACAGGCCTCCGGCAGACAGCGCGTAGCTACAGCTTCTCCACCCGGTCTGACGAGCTCTGCCTTTTCATCGGTCTTTAGTGTTCGTGATGAAGGGAAGCACTGATAGGATCTGGTTTGTACCTATTCTTCTATTTATCGTCTACGGTCTCATGTGTCTTTTCCCTTCTAGTCTGCCTCGCCTTCTTTTGTGGCAAACAAATGCCTTTTAATGCAATATTTGAATTCCTCTCGACTTAACTGTATCTTTGAAGTCATGTTTGTTTGTGTTTACTTGAAACAAATCGACTTCCAGGTAAGGCTGACTTCATTCTGCTGTGTCACCTCTGCTCCGACACGGCCCTGTCCCCTGCTCTGTGCGTACCGCCCCAGGTGCTGGTTTGTTGTGTTACACTTGCCACTTCCACCAACTCAGGTCTGCAAAATACCAGAGAATGAGACCCTGTTCCCTCCAGTCCCGTCAGTGTGTATCCTCCGCTCAGTGCCTCCCATTGGATTTCCTGTAGGGCAGGTCTGCTAGCGACCCTTGTTTGAGTTACTCTGTAATGTGTTTATTTTGTCTCAACTCAATTTTTTTAATGTTTATTTGAGAGAGAGTGAGCGTGGGGGAGGGGCACAGAGAGAGAGAATCCCAAGCAGGCTTCAAGCTGTCAGTGCAGAGCCCGATGGGGGCCTCAATCTCAGGAACCGTGAGATCATGACCTGAGCCGAAATCAACAGAAGCTTCACCAACTGGGCCACCAGGCACCCCTGTTTTGTGTAAACTTTTAAAGGAGAATTCTATTAGATACAGAATTCTTGGCTGACCCAGGCCTGGGGGGTCTCTAAGCCTCTGTTAGAATTGAAGGTCTATAACTCTTAAAACTGCTGAAGACAGAAAAGACAAGGAAAGTGACTGAGACACAGCGGCTGTATGAGATGCAGGGTATCCTCACAGGGGACTCTGAGCCCGAGAGCAAACAAAGCTTCTCAATGGTCAAGGGCAGAACCATGCTGACGCTGAGCTGCCTGCAGGCTGTGCTGGTGCTGTGAGCACCCCTGTCCTTTGTGGGGGGGCTGGGGCGCCATGCCTGCAACATGCCCTCAGTGGTTCAAAGAGACACGGACTATAAAGGGTAGGCAGCAAATGTGGCAAAATCTTAACAGTTGGGGAATCTGGGTAAGGGGAACAGGGAGTTTCTCATACTTTTCTTAACATTTTTCTGTGTGTTATTTCGGAAATCTTTTCAAAACAAATTATAAAAATACCAGGTTGGGACACTCATATTACAATATATCTCAAAATACACTGTAAAGATTTTGGAGAAAGATAAATATTAAGAGCTAGAATAAAATGATATAGGTATGGAAAAAAATCTGTCCAAACAGAAATCTGGAAACAAACAAAAATTAACAGATTTGAGAACATAAAAATGTTAAGCATTTATGGCACAAAAACAGACACTCAGATCAATGGAACAGAACAGAGAACCCAGAAATGGACCCACACACGTATGGCAAGCTAATCTTGGACAAAGCAGAAAAGAATATCCAATGGAATAAAGACAGTGTCTTCAGCAAGTGGTGCTGGGAAAACTGGACAGCAACATGCAGAAGAATGAACCTGGACCACTTTCTTACACCAGACACAAAAAGAAACTCAAAATGGATGAAAGACCTAAATGTAAGACAGGAAGCCATCAAAACCCTCGAGGAGAAAGCGGGAAAAAGCCTCTTTGATCTTGGCTGCATCAACTTCTCACTCAACACGTCTCCAGAGGCAAGGGAAACAAAAGCAAAAATGAACTACTGGGACCTCATCAAAATAAAAAGCTTCTGCACAGCGAAGGAAACAATCAGCAAAACTAAAAGGCAACTGACAGAATGGGAGAAGATATTTGCAAATGACATATCAGATAGAGGGTTAGTATCCAAAATCTACAAAGAACTTATCAAACTCAACACCCAAAAAACAAATAATCCAGTGAAGAAATGGGCAAAAGACATGAACAGACACTTCTCCAAAGAAGACATCCAGATGGCCAACAGATGCATGAAAAGATGCTCAACATCACTCATCATCAGGGAAATACAAATTGAAACCACAATGAGATACCACCTCACACCCGTCAGAATGGCTAACATTAACAACTCAGGCAACAACAGATGTTGTGAGGATGCGGAGAGAGAGGATCTCTTTTGCACTGTTGGTGGGAATGCAAACCGGTGCAGCCACTCTGGAAAACGGTATGGAGGTTCCTTAGAAAATTAAAAATACAACTACCCTACGACCCAGAAATTGCACTACTAGGCACTTATCCAAGGGATACAGGTGTGTGTTTCGAAGGGACACATGCACCCCCATGTTTATAGCAGCACTATCGACAACAGCCAAAGTATGGAAAGAGCCCAAATGTCCGTCGATGGATGAGTGAATAAAGAAGATGTGGTATATGTATACACACACACACACACACACACAAAATGGAGTATTACTTGGCAATCAAAAAGAAGGAAATCTTGCCATTTGCAACTACGTGGATGGAACTGGAGGGTATTATGCTAAGTGAAATTAATCAGAGAAAGACAAATATCCTAGGACTTCACTCATGTGAGGAATTTAAGACACAGAACAGATGAACATAAGGGAAGGGAAGCAAAAATAATATAAAAACAGGGAGGGGGACAAAACATAAGGGACTTAAATATAGAGAACAGAGTTGCTGGAGGGGTTGTGGGAGGGGAGATGGGCTAACTGGGCAAGGGGCATTAAGAGGACACCTGCTGGGATGAGCACTGGGTGTCATATGTAGGGGATGAACCAGTGGAATCTACTGAACTCATTATTGCACTGTATGCTAACTAACTTGGATGTAAATTTTAAAAAATAATAAAAAAATGTTAACCATCTAAAATTTAAAAAAATCAAATGTAAAATTAAACAGCAAATTGGATAAAAGGTGGCTATCCTTCATCTTGAGGATTTCATACACGTGAAGGACAAAAGGGAAAAAGAGATAATTCACAGTCAAAAACAAGAAATGGCTAAAATGAGGACACTCAGGATCACAGTCACAGCATGAGGACCTGTCCCTTCCAGGCGCATGGGGCAGGACACGCACGAGGCAGGCCCCCCTCCCCCGTGTCACTTCTCGATTCTGATCGATACATCTGGAAGCATTTAGGATGTTCACTGTGTTCCCTTTGGAAACATGCACCAGGGAGAGGACCCAGTGAGGTCCGGGGTCCCACAAGCTCCTGCCCGGACAGTGAGGGGCAAGAGGGGGGAAGGGCGCAGCCAGGCTGGGTGGGCAGACCCCAGGCTTCTGCACGGAAGGGAAGTGGGGCAGGAAGCTCCCATTCGTGCGGCCTCCACGCCTGAGTCCTGTGAAGGCAGATGAGACCCCCACAACCACGTGGGAACAGCGCACGTGCCAGGGCCTGCAGGCCCTGCCCTGCTCCCCACAAAGGTGAGTGGCGAGGCAAGAGCCGACACCTAAGGGGACCGCGACCTCGGACACCACGGAAACACGGCATCAACGTGTGTCACGAGTTCTCACTGGGGTGTGACAAGGAGCTCGATCCGGGGGAACTGGCTCAACTGGGAAACTCCATCCATGGTGGTGGGGGGTGGGGGGAGGGAGAGGGGAGCCGCATCGCGAGCCGGATTCTCTAGAAGCTGGCACAACAGGCCTGAGGGGAGCTAGGGGCAGGGAAGGGGGCTAAAGGCAGGGAGGGGGACTAAGGGCAGGGAAGGGGGACAAGAGGCTGTGAGCAGGGTGGACACCCAGGATGGGGTGCCGCTCAGGCGTGAAAGTGCCGCGGGGAGGCCCCCGGAGCAGGTGCTGGGGGCCCCAAGCCCACTCGGCTGCGTGGGTGGCAGCAAGAGGCGCCAGATGCGACCACGTAGCCTGCCTGTGGGCCCTCCTCCGAGGCAGTTGCTAGAATATCCCCTCCAGCAAGAAGCAAAGGTGAGGCGGAGAGCAGAGACGCAAACGGGGTCACACATCACCAATGTGAGGGTCTCCCTCACGGGCCTAAGCTCGGGGGCTTGCTGAGGGCATGAAGGCGACAGCAGAGGGGCCGGGCGGGGGGGGGGCTCACCCTGCTCCCGCTGGGAAGGGGCCTGAGCCTGCGGTGGGCAGGGGCACTTGCTCTGGAAACCCACTCGTGACTCCCACACCCGCCAGGAAGGGACCATCTTGCCGAGACGGAGACATCTTGCTGGGACAAGAGTACTCGTGAAAGGTCCCCAATGGGCCCAGCAGCCACACCGTTTTCGTGGCAGGACAGCGCTGCCCTGGGTGGGTTCCACTGGGTTCCCTTCTGTGGCAGGCAGTTCCGTGGCATGTCCGTTTGGGGCAGGGGACAGGGACCCCCGTCCATTTGGGGCAGGGGACAGGGACCCCCGCTTACCCATGCGTCCATCATGAGGCGGGCTGATCAGAGAGATTCTTGCCGGGCCAGCCGTGACCTCAGGCTAAGCGTGTAGAAAGAAAACAAGTCAGTTCCTGGAGCTGCCTGTTCCAAGGGCCAGACCCACCCCATTTACCGCGAACCACCGGCTCCAGGCCCACAAGGGCAGGGTGCCCCCCTCCGCTCCCCAGCCCCAGGGGGCTCGCAGCAGCGGGGGGGACGGGGGGTTGCTGCACCAAGCGCTTCCAAGAATCTCAGAAGAGAGGAAACGTCAAGTCCTTGGCTGAGGTCAGGAATGTTGAAATCCCACACAGATCCTCATTTTGGGCTCATGATCTCGTCACCCTGCGCTCCGGTGTTGACGGGGTGTTCTCGCTCGCAGGGAGCCAGCTCTGGCCGACCCGGTTGTGTTCCCCAGGGGCACCCCCCCCCCGAGCCCCTGAGGATGGCACGCTGGCACTGTCACTAGTGATGGGGGGCCTCCTCCGACCACAGAGGCGATGCCAGGCATGTAGGCCAAGCGCTCCCTTCGCTGCCATGGCCGTCCTGGTCTCACTCCTGTGGCCCCTGACAAGCCCGGCTCCCACCGGTCTGTCTCCAGACCCGGCCACCATCCCCTGTGCCCATCTTCCCAGTTCCCACCCCGGCACACCCACCCCTGCGGCCCCCTGCAGGGTCCCCTCTGCTACCCCAGCCCCTGGCTCACGCCCACCAGCAAGCCTCAACCAGGAAGGACCAGTGAGTGCGCTTAGGTGGAGACACTTCAGACAGCGCTGCCCCGCCTGGAGGGCGTGTCCATCAACTGCCTGTTCACGCCCCCGACAGCTTGACAGCTTCCGGGTGAAGCATCCCTCCCGGCCACGCATCATGTGACGGTGGTGGGCTCGGCAGCTGTCCTCCCAAGGACTAGAGCTCTGGTCCCACCACACTTGGCCCTTCCCATCGGCCCGTCCCCCCTCCCCCACCCCGGGGTGCCCCCTCCACAGCCACGGGCTGAGTCGGGGTGCGCAGATGTCCCGTGCGCCCCTGCCACCGGCCCTTTGCACCTGCTCCTCTCGCGGTCCCGACCCGCACTTCCGTCCGGCCTGCTCTGCACATCGTTGCCACATGTGCCCCCTGCACGCCAGCTCTCAATAGCGGGCAGAGCGTTCGCAACTCCAACAGGAGAACTCGGCACGGCGCGACGGTGAAAGTCACTCCACTGAGTTAGAATCGGGTAACTGGTCTCTCCTCACCTTGGCCTCTGCCAGCAAGGGTTTCTATTTGCTGGGTCAGCTCTCGAGGCCCCTGTGTCAGGGAGGGTCCAGTAACAGGTGAAGAAAAAGGACCTGGAGACACGGCTGGCCGGGCCGCGCAGGCACAGGGCTGAGCACGGGCTGCGGCGGGCGCCCTGGGTCCCGGCGAGGACCCGTGCTCTGGAGCACGACCGGGGGCCGCGGCCTAGGATGGGTGTTCGCGAGGGCCCCACTGAGCAGAGCAGGGCAGACCCACCCCAGGCGGCACAAGGAAGCCGAGACGCCCCACGGAGGCGGACCACGCCAGGCTGCGCTTTGCGGCGCGGACCACAGAGACTGCAAGCGGCAGGTGTCTGCGAGGAGGGGTGTGTTCCACGTGCTGCAGGTGCTCCCACGGGGGCTCCCACGGGCACTTCCGTAAGCGCTCCCACGGGGGCTCCCACGGTGGGTGCAGCTTCGAGGCTCTCCCTCTATTCACAACTTGCTCACGGAGAGTTCTTCCTGCCAGAGAGCAAATACTCTAGAAAGATCTAGCACTTCCCGGGTGTCAGGAGAGTATGGAAAACTCTGAGTCCAAACCTCCCCTCCAGGGTGTCTGCGGTCCGTGTCCTGAGGCTGCCCCCCGTAGAGCAGCCCCGCGTCCTGCTGGTGGTTTCGGCGCATCCCGGGATGCCGCGTGGAAGTCCGCGTCTGTCAGCACTGTGTTTCTGCGTTCCCGGTGGCTGACGTGTTTCTCTTTGGGCTCTCCCTCAAGTCGGTTCTCGCGCTTTACCGGCCCCCCTCGTTAACGCGTGCCGTAGAGCAGGCCTTCACTGGATACCTGTGAGTTGTCATTTCCCTGCTCACACCGGCCGACCGTCCCGGGTAGGAAGCTGCAGGCCGGTGTCCACGTCTGACACGCCATCGGCGCCCTGTGCACCTGCAGGCTGTGCGTCTCTCACCTGCTCTCCCAGGACCCCGGGGTTGGCCAGGGCAGCAGGTGGGAGAGGGGACAAGGCCCTCTACGACCCAGACGGCTGACCCCAGGCGGCTTGTGCCAGGTGTCCTGTGGTGGGCGTGGCACCTTCTCGACCAGCCGGCTGCAGTGCCCTCGCCCTGCTTCCCCTGCAGCCGTGGCCACTCACCCTGGATGAGCCCGCAGGGGCGGGGACCTCTCCTAAACCACCAGACAATAACCCTCAGGGCAGCCCCACACCGGGGCCGGAGTCCTGTGCTCCCCTCCGCGCCCTGCCCCGGGCCGGCTGTGCCACCCAGGGTCTCTGGGCCCGGGGTGGGGTTCTCAGGACACAGCCATCACCCTGCCCCCACTCCAGGACTGATGGCGTCCGGGGGCCGGGTGAGGGGGTGGACAAGTTTCGGGGGCACTTGTGTCCTGCTCTGGTCCGAGGCGGGCAGACCACGGCCCAGAGCCCGATTCTGTTGATAAAGTCTTACTGCCAGGCAGCCGTGCCCATTCGCCTCCATCCTGGAAGCCTCACCTCCCGGAGGCCTTGGGGCAGAGCCTCAACTACTCCCAACCTGCCCTGGACGGCAGCAGGCGCTACCCCTGGTCCAGCACCTCACTGCAGTTTCGAGACTGTGGGCTGTGTTCTGGTCCCTCAACTGTAACAGCCGGGACATGGGGGATCAACTCAGGATGTCAGTCTCTAATCTCCAAAACAAGGCCACACGTGGGTGAGGCTGAGTCCAGCCTCCGGGGCGCCAAGGCCAGCAGGTGGTGCGTGGGGGCCGGGATCCACAGGCCAGGGAGGAGGTGCACCCGCAGGCTCCCTCTCAGATGCGACGGGGATGGTGAGACAGGAGGGTGGGGCGGAGAACCGGGCACGGAGGGGAGGCGCACGCCGGCACAGCCACCAGGGACTAGGGCGTCCCCTCCACCCCAGCTCTGAACGGCTCTGCGTTCCTACCTGCTTATCCTGGAATCCAGATTCCTCCTTAATCTGCTTGCAGGACGGCCCCCGTGGAAATGAGCACTACTCCTCACTAACCAACCTGAACACCTGCGTGCATGTCCCGGGGCGACCGGGAGACCGAGCTCCCACGTACCGGGTGTTCGCGGACAGGCAGCACCAGGCGGTGTATGAGTCACCAACACCGAGTCCGTGTGCACCAGGTCGCTCCCTCTGGGGACCCGCTTCCCCATCCTCTATCCTGAGCCTCCTGGCGTCTGGCCTTGGGTGGGGGGTGGGGGAGTCCCAGGCCGCGCTCCATCCGGGCCAGGCACTGATGGCCGGAACTTCCGGCCGTGTCTCCTCTGGCCTTGCCCCTCTCTCCAAGTGGGAGCCCTGCCTCTATTCAGGGGCCTCGGGGTCTCCAAGCCTCTGCCTTTCTTGGCCGGACCGGGTTTATCCTGACTTCACTCAGCCTCCCTTCCTTCTTCCCCACCTGCCGCTCACAGAAGGGAGTGTGCTCGAAACCGTCACCCAGGACCTGCTTCGCGAACCACATCCCTGCCCAGCACAGGATGAAGAGACCCCGCTGTGATCCGTCCCTGGGGCCTTGAACGCTTGTGCTTCCTGGAGCTGCGAAAACCACAGACACCGTATGCGGGACGAGGTGGGACCCAGGGAGTGGGTGTACTTACTTTTCTCGCTGGGGAAGGAGTGAGGTCGACCTGCATGGACTCCACCCTGTTAAATGACAAGGGGACAGGGGCCAGGGGCTCGTCAGCGATGCAACACCACCAACCGAGACTCTTGCCACGGGACCCACGCTCACCTCCAGGCCCCGCGCTGTCGGCCCGCCTGCCTCACTGGCCAGCGCCCACGCCCACGGAAGCCTTGTGGCCTGGGCCCCGGCCCGCCCACTCCATAGCCCCCTCCCGGCCCTCGTCCTCGCTCCTCTAATCGGGCCTGAGCTCCTGCAAGGCGGCGACAGGAGTAAACCTCCTTTTTCCTTTCCTTAACGCTTACTGCCCGACCCACACACTTCACACAATGAACACTCGACAAGTGTTCGTTCTGACTGAGCCCGAGTCTGACAGGGACGCACCACTCGGGCAGCCTCGTAGGAGAAAGAGCAGAAGAGAGAGGACAAGAAAGGGCGGGAAAGCGAGCTACTGAGCTCCTGCAGGGCGGGCCTGCCGGACAAAGCCAAGGTGAGGGGCGCAGCTCCCCTCAGCCAGGGTGGGTCGGGGTCCGGGGGGAGCCACCCGCCCAGCTGCGGTCTCTCGTCCTAGTTTTGTCTGTGCTGGATTAGTCTCCGAGCCGCCTCCCCTGGCCTGGCCATCCCGGTCACGGGTCAGTCCCAGGGTTGACACCCGTTGGCGCGGTGTGGTCGCAGGATGCCCCCCAACCAATCGCTAAGACTGTGGGGACAGAGTTGTGACTGGCCAGCCAGGACCACACACCTGATTGTGAGGCCGCGTCCCGCGGGGCAGGCAGGAGCCGGAGGGAGGGGCGAGGTGCCACGTCCTGCACTCGACTCAGGGTCCCTGCCTGTCCACTGCTGACCGGCGGGGTTGGGGTGGCAGTGAGGAGACGTGCAGGGTGGAGGGAGGAGGGGAGGACCGGAGGCGCGTCAGAGGACGGGCTGTGCGACCCGCCGGAGCCGGCCAGTGACGGTCAGGGACACTGGGGCCGCCCCGCCGCACACACACCTGTTGGAGGCTGACGAGTCAGGGGGCCGGAGGTGTCCGCCTGGCCGTGCCAAAGGAGCTGCGGCAGGGGTCTGAGCGTCAGGCCGCGTTCGCCGGCCCGGCTGCCTCTTCACATCCCTCCCGGCTCAGGCCCCGTGTCACTTACTCGAAACTGGAGTTTTTATTGTGCTGAAAGCTGTCTGCTGTGACAATCTCACACTACACAGATAGAGAGGGAGTGCTAATCAGCCACAAACGTTTACTTCAACGTAACCCATCCCGGTTACAATCGTAAGCCGACAAACACAGCCAGATGCCCCACAGGTGCCCCGGCCCCCGACCCTCGCCAGCTTCCCCCCACCCCCCCCACACACACAGCCCTGAGGAGCCCCCCGAGGACAGGCAAGTGGCCTGTGGCTTGCTCTATTGGCTGCACCCGGTGCTACGAACAAGCAGGTGCTTGACTACGGGTCGGGGGCAGGCAGCCATCCGCCTCTGCGGTGTGGGGACCTCGAACCTCTGAGGCCCTCGCTCCTGCCCGCGGCCTCTGTGAAACCAGTGTGCTCTGTGCCACCCCCCCACCCCAGGACATGAAGGTAACAGAGAGCCACCAGTACCAGCGCGCCCCCGCCCCGCGGGTGAGTGTGCACCATGCTGCCCCACCTGGGCTCCTCCTGCTCTGGCGGGGGGGGGGGGGGGGGGGGGGGAGATGCCATCTGGGAGGAGCACCCTCCCCGGGGAACGTGTGCGGAGCCAGCCCGAGGGACGGGACGAACCCCCCTGGCCCAGGCAGATCCGGACTCCGAGGAGTCAGGTGGGGGAGAAACACCACCTGGGACGCGCCTAAACAGAAGGTGGCGACAAAGATAAGCTAACACCACGGTGCTAAAGATGACCAGGAACGTTCTAGAAATGGAAAGCTGAACAGCCCAAATGGACCTGAGATGGAAAAGGTGTGCCGCAGGCAGCTGAGCAGAGCACCGGGACTGGGGGCCCAGGAAAGCACAGGGAGGCTGCAGGGACAGAAGCCACCTGGGAGCAGCTCTGTGCACAGGCCTGCCAGGCTCAGAACAACGGGGCGTGAGGACGCAGGAAAAGAGCAGGATGCGGAAAGGTGGCGGCTGTGAGTGGCCAGAAGTCACAGAAGACACGATTCCCCAGAAAGCAAGCCAACTATTCACCCAGAGGGATGGATCGGAGACCCCGCGCAGGCGCCTGGCACTCTCCGTCGTGCCGCTCCCCCCCCCCCGTCCCCTCCCCTCCCCTCCCCTCCCCGAACTGAGCAGGGCCGCGCACCCCCACGTCCCTCAGGCTCTCCGAGTCTCCTGCTGTGATCTCTTGGGAATGGGGCAGGACCCCTGAGCACACCCTCACACTGGTGTCGGCTTGGGGGCCCCTTCACCCCAGACGGGGCCCCAAGGTGGCGGAGAGACTTCCAGAGGCCCAACGCGACAGGGCAGCAAGTGCCCACTTACAGCGCGTGGGTCATCCCCGCACACGTGACCAGCCGGATGGACGCCAGTCCCCAGGGCCGCTGGCTCTGCAACCTTTACCCTGACGTTCGGCCTACCAAGCCGGGAAGAGCCACCACATTAGCACAGCTCACGAGACCTCGCCCCGTCTCAGAACAGAAGGCACTGTGGACAGCGGGAGCCCCCCGTGGCCACTGCCCCAGGGCACGCCACGGCCTCCGCACGTGGGGCACACGCGCTGCGCGTGGTCACCTGTCACGGACCCCACGGTTCCTGACAGATGCGCACAGGGCCCCGACAGGGCCTGGCCGTGGGGCGCCTCTGCCTCAGGGATCTCGGGGAGCCCCTGGGGGGTTTTCACATTTTCCCTTCTGTCTCCCTTGGCCTCCCTTCACCTCCTACTGAACTGCTGCTCTGACAGAAGCTTGTAGTAAAGGCAAGTGCTCTTTCTCCGGCCCCCTTCGTTACAACAAGATCTCAGACAGATGGCCAAGGGCACAGCACGGTCGGCTGCCCTGTTCGCACTCTGGAGAGAACTCACCCCTGCAGCTGTTCCAACCGCAGCACTGACTTCCGAAGGGACTCTTCCAGCTTTGAGATCTAAACACAACCAGAGTTCTGGTCACCAGGTGGTATAGGCCAACAGTGTTGAGAGCATGTGCTGACCCTCTGAACGTCTTAAACCACAAATCAGAATGTGGGAGGCATGGGAGCTGTCCTCTTGCTGCTTGAGTGAACGTGCACTGACAGCAGGCCACCAGGGGCCCCGGGGACCAGCACTGGGACGCCAGCACGAGGCAGCCTCACCCAGGTGCTCCCGGGCCCTCTGTCTACACTCAAGAAGGCACTGCTCTGAGTCAGAAGCTCGATTAACGCTGCTCTCACTAAAGCTTTGCTTTCCTTTCATTAAAGGCGAGTACTTACAAGGCTAGAGGGGAGTGCTCACAGGGCTAGAGGGGAGTGCTCACAGGGCTAGAGGGGAGTGCTCACAGGGCTAGA